ATACAAAATGTCAAAGTTCTAAGGCTAATCGTTTTTGAGTTATGCGAGATACATATGTACGTACGTACGTACGCACAGACATTACGAAAAATTCTCTTTAGAATTCTTTTTAAATTAGTTTTACAATTTTGGGGGCAAAAGAGCCCTTTATTCTACCCTTACGTACAGATGTCAAGCAAAAACATCGTTAAATTGCATTCGATAGCGGTGAAAATGGATATTTGCGTTGAAATATGATGCCTGAAACTTTTCGCGTTTACAATACTTCCTTTTTACTTCGTATAAGGAAGTAAAAAGCATCCGTTTTTAGTTTAGTTCAGAGTTTATATTAAAAAACTGATATTAATGAGAGATCTCTATGCGAACTTCCGCATTTGAGGCTTTCTGGGTTTTTCTTGCGTTCAGCGTTCTTAATTGTTTCAATTATTAGCCACTGTTGTGGTCTGTCATACTGAGAAGAGTTGTACGAATACGGTTGTGCGAAAATTCCAGAACTATAAAGTGCTTTTGGAAAAATAAATTTCATCAAGTTATCATCTGTGTTGTGTGCATTCACTCTTTCACGAACACGTCCGCACATAACAATGCTAACCTAAAATCTTAAAGCTGAGACAGATTAAACATGACATTAAGGGGACACATACACCTTGAACCCCTTGTCATCTTCGAATATGTGACTGTTGCAAGAATTGGGATATTTTATTTATTTTAAAAGCAATTACTTCAAACTTTTTACAGCTGACTACATAATATAGCTGCTTTGGAAAATAGTAACCAGAAAGTTTGTGTTGCCACAAATATTTTTGTAATTTAATCCTCTTTGTAAAAAACTATTTCGCCATGTTTCCACCTTGCGCGCATGATATTTTAAAAATGGCTAATGGTCATACTTGAAATTTGATGGAATTCTTTATATGGGCAGTACCGATTGGCATGAACCAACAATCTGATGAATATTTTAATATTGAAAAATTTTATGGACGAAAACATTAAAAATTTTGTTAATAAAATACATTTTATAAACTCAAGATAAATAAAAATTTAAACATGAAATTTTTAGAATTTTAGGTTCACAGTAGTTTTCCAAATGTTTATAAAGCTTTATATTAAATATGGAATTAAATTATGAAACAGAATGTTTTAAACTGTGCGCGCATATTGGAAACATGACGAAAAATGTTGTCACAAAGCGGATTAAATTATAAAAATATTTGTGGCAACACAAACTTTCTGATTGTTATTTCGGAAAGCAGCTATATTATGTAGTCAGCTGTAAAAAGTTGGTATTAATTGCTTTTAAAATAAATAATTTATCCCAATTCTTGCAACAGTCACCTATTCGAACATCTTATGGGTTTTAAGGTGTATGAGTCCCCTTAACTGATAAATTAATTGTACTTTTGTAACGTGAAAATTGCTTAAGCATTACAATCGGTGAAGTAGAGTTTGTGTAACATTACTTCGGAAATTATGACGAAACACATTTTCTTTGCAAAAGTATAAAACCTGGAGGGAAAAAACAACTTCTTGAACAAATTTTCTTTCTTTTTCTCTCTCTTCCTCCCCTTTCTAGCCTAAACGGGCATTAGCACAGGCTCCAGTTAGGCTACCAGCCTCGAAACCAGTTAGACCACCAGTCTCGAAACTGCATTTTGTGTCGAATCAACGGAATTGCACCAGTTTTCAAACTGTTGCCACTAAACATCATCGCCCTCTATTATATTTAAAGAAAGTACATATTTAATAATCTGCATGAAAGTATGTATGTTTCTGACATTGTGATAGCACAACGATAACTAGAACCGTCAAATTCTAGTCCTCCACCCACATATGGGCAGTCCGAATCTTGAAAGCTCAGTAGGGCTATTAATTTTCTTTTGGAGTTTGCGTTGGTTCACTATATTCCCATTTTGCGTTCAAAGTTTGAATCGCTTCAAATTATTGCCACCAAATGAGCCTTGCATTATATTTTATATATTTCCAATTTCATTTATGTATTTCACATTATTTATATATTTGAAATTGAGCCCTACATTATATTTTAAAAAAATAATTATAAAGAATTTGCATGAATGTATGTATGTTTCTCGCATTGTGAAAACAAAGCGGTACCTACAGACATAAAATTCTGAATATGATGCCTGCCTCGTCTCGAATATGAGCAACTGGAAAAATCAAAATTTGGAATTTATTTTATTATCTATTCTATATTTTGTAAAACATTCACGAATATTTGATTGGAAAAGTCAACGATTTCAAAGCGTTCCATTAGCATTAATATCTCGTACATCTTCAAGCACGGATATTTTATGCGCGGGATTTCTTTACATTTCTTGCTGATATTTTGTGGGTAGCGTAGACACGCCCAAAGGCGTTACAATGTCTAACGGTATTTTTCGTCCAATGACTTTGAATGCCTGTATCACTTTTCATATCCCATTCTGGGTACCCCGCGAATAAAACTCGTCTCTGGGCGTAACTTAAAATCTGAAAGCTTTCAGGTTTTATTTTTTTCTTTCTTCGTTTTTTTTTTTTTTTTTTTTTTTTTTTTTTTTTTTAAACTTTAGCGAATTTTGTATTAAACATAACTATTTCAAAGCGAGCAGTGGTAACACACTGTATATAATGTGAAAAAAAAATATTTTTATCTCTAGCACGTGAAAATATCTATTCGAAATTCTATAAATATGCTGTTTTTAAATATTTCTAGTCTAAAGGGTATCGAAACGTGTATATATATATATGCAAATGGAAAAAAAAAAAACTCCCTTTGCGCATCGTATAAAATTTGTAAGCTTTCAGATTTTATTTGGGGGGGGGGCAACATATATATCACAAACACTGAAATTAAGATAACTGCAGGTAACTTTTTTATCCGTTTTATGTAATAAAAACATTTAATCAGAGTCGTTTACGGACAAATTAAAACTGTGAAGTTATTGGCGAACAGCTATGCCGTAAAAATCTTTTTCTTTGATGTTTTAGTTGCCATACATAAGTATAAAAACTGCAGAAGCGCGTTTAAACTTTCACCATAAATTACAAATGATGAAAACTGAATTATAATAAAATGCTGGTATTATTCATGAGGGCATAAAATTCAGCTATTTTCTGAATTCAAATTATCTTTATTATGCAGACTTTGATGTTTTATTCATTAAGCTGATCTGGGGTTATATTCATGTTCGTAATTAAGTGTGTTTAAACATTTTGACAAACATTTTCATGGCATAGCTTAAAAAGATATATTTTTTTAATTTAATGGAGTTCGATAATTTAGTAACCTGTTTGTGCGACATATATACATTTTTCATAAAGCAAGTTTTTAGCAAAAAAATGTATTAATTTTAAAGTATTAATTAAAAAAGTTTTAATTTTAATTCTGAGATTCTGTAAGTATTCTGATTGCAAGTACCATTTTACACGCTTATTTTTATGCATAGCAGACAACAAGTTGCTTTACATATTTTTGGCATTAAAAATGCGATTGCTATTTCACGCAAATCCAAATACATATCTTTCATGATTATCGCATTATGATTACTAAGTTTTGATGAAATCGTGACGTATTATATTTGATGAAACTGCAACAGGGAAGGACCAGAGAAAGTACACTCTGGAGACACTTACATCGGAAAAAACATTAACTCAAAGATCATAAAATTTCATTAAATATAACGAACTGTTTTATCAAATTCAGTTTCAATCACTATTCTGGTTTTCAGCCGGCCATTGTGGTTTCATTAACGTGAATATTTCCTAAACAGTTTACCACTATTACTATTATCACTGTTATTGACATCAAAATTTAACATATACTGACTTATTTAAACTGTTTCTCACGATACCTCATGCAGAATACCAACAAAATCTTTGCGGATATTTCTAATTTTAACTGCAAAAGAGAAAATTCTGAAAAATATTTCAGTCTAAAATAACTCTAACTGAATGAATACTTGTTATTTCTTGTTTTAAGATAATAATTACATTTAAATTTTTATTTACTTTTAATGTACTTTCAATTCGATAATATTTTTTAATTTAAATATCACAGATGACTAACGAAAGATTTGCCATTACTTAACGTTCATGCATATATACATATGTACAGCATATATACATCTATTCATCTATATATACGTCATTTCATACATACATTTCAGAGCTTATATGAGTTACAAAAATATAAGTTATTCACTTCATATATTTATTTAATCTTTTCTAATTGCAAATTCACTCTTCATTTTCGCATCAGTTGGAAAATCTCTAGAAATTTAGGTTGCACAGAATCATAACGTGCATTACCATTTTTTTTATTTTCTCCTTGCGTATTTCGTGTGTTATCTTGAAAGTTTTTAGATTATGTGAAACACGGAAATTCAACGATGCTGTAGCAACAACACGAACACCGAAGATTTCTCTGCTAGCAGACGTGCAACTTCTTACACTACGAACGGTCGCAGTGAGAAAGGCGAACATTTTTTAAAAGACACATTTTTTTTTTAAAATTATTTATGAGAAATTTATGCTCTTCATTTCATAGAACATAAGTGAAAAGGAACTGCCTACATACTTTATTACACTTTCCACATCACAGTTTCTGTTATTTTTGACCATGTCCTGGAAATTAAGATTCGTTTATAATTTAATTGATAATTGCATTACGTTGCAAAGTTTGTCACAAGCATTTCTTTTATATACCCAAATTATTTTTTCATAATTTTCTCTTACCACATTAGTTTTGTACAGCAAAGAACGCAATAAGTGCTTTATGACGCAATAGAAAATAACGGTGTCTTTCAAAGAAAAGTAGATCATTTTCTAGATTAAATGCCTCTGAAGATTTAGTATCAAAGCAAAATGGATGCCTGCCTTGCCCTTTAATATCAAATTAAGTGTTCAGTTTTTTCCAAGCTTCTCTTCCTATCGAATTTCCTATCCTTCAGAGACAATAAAGTTTCACGTCACTGAGCAACCGATTTTCTCTTTCTCAGAATCCTCCGTACATGATGGTCAAGAAGCCAGATGAGCAAGCGAAAGGCAGTCACGAACAGTACGAGGGATTTTGCGTGGATCTGCTCCGAGAAATGTCACGCATCCTCGGATTTCGCTATGAACTGAGACTGGTGCGTGACGGATCCTATGGTTCTCGAACTACAAGGAATGATGGAGACCACTGGAACGGAATGGTTCGGGAGCTTATGGACAGGGTAAGTATTTTTTGTTACACAAGATGTTAGATGCTTACTCAGTGACAGGTTAGATATTTTTCGCTCTTGTATAGTTCGTATACAAAATATTCTCTCATGTCCCATAAATGCATAATATTAATATTATTTCTATGCCTTTATTTTTACATTTTATAGCATACAGGACATCTTCAGGATATAATGATATTTTAATAAGATTATTAAAACATGAAATTAGGCGATAGAAATACGCAAATTTTGGCGAGAAAGAAATGCTATTTAAAGTATTAATTTAATAATTCATAAGATTTAATAATTCATTTAACCTGCATTTTGGAAGTCTATGTCTGATTCCTATAAGCTTTTATTACTTAATCATTTCTTTATTTTATTTTGTTCGTTTACTTTACAGGTTTACGAAATTATTAGTTATATAAAATAAATATCTGTGTTTATAAGAGTTAGTAATTTCTTTGATGCTGAGGCGAAAGGTTATTAAAATTATATCTTGCTTGCTATAGCTTTCCGATACTATCATATTAACTGCTGCTTTGAACTTTCATGTTCCAGTTTAACACAGATAAGTGCATTTGGTTAAAATAGTTATCTCGTAAGACATTCTGAAAATCCCATTAATTTGCGTAATTTAGTGTTTATCAGTAATATTTTAAGCAATGATTTGAAAACTACGGAAGTAAATCAATTCACTTGGCATATTATTTATTAATACTTCAAATATTAGTATTGTTTGAGTTAAAGGAATACGCAGAATAGCAATTATTAAAAGGAGCTAAAGGAACAAGAATCAAAGTAATATTCATAGATTTCCAGGACTAGTTTCGAAGGCTTAAATATAGAAATTTTTTCATCTGAAGAAGTTCAAATGAAGGAGAAGTTCTATATTTAAACTGCGGGGATTATTTTAATTTTCTAATAGTTATTTTAATTTTGAAACTCTTTCCTTTAAATTCTTGTTGCCGACCTACAACTCTCTGCCAGAATGAGATTCCAATATCCCGTTTTATGTACATGAAGTAGAACCAGTATTAATTGCAAAGTTTTGTCACTTCCGTAGAGAAACTCAGAAGTTCTCAGTAGCGCGTGTTCTCCCTTCGGGCCACGCCGTTCTTTTAAGTCTGTCTATCTTACTACGCTCGGTTACCTGCCTGTTAGCATTTGCCGGTGAGGTTTAATTACAGGCCAATACAGCTAGTTATTTCTGTACAGCTTCGGCTGAAGTTTAACTAGTTAGAACTAGTTTAGCTCCTTATTTTGTGTCTGAAGTTAAAGCTCAAATTGAGGCTTTCTTGTAAGCCCGAGAAGGGGCCGACTGTATTATTTTGTGAGTGAATAAAAGGATATTTTAACTCTTCTTTCGACTCATCGTTATAGTTGTAAGAAGAGCAGCAAATGTCGCTAGACTCTTCACTAAAGTTCTAGTAGTCAAGGACTCGTACATTTACTAGATTTTTATAAAACTTTCGAAACTCTTCCCGAAAATTCTTTAATATTACGCTGATTCTTTTTGCTTTACCTCCTCCAATAATAATATTATTATTATTCTCAGATTAAAAATCATATTGTAGAGATATTAGGTATATTTTTTGGAAGCAACAGAGATGAAAAATTAGCAACTACCTTCGCCGGGAATCGAACCACGGACATTTGAAATTACCGGCTCAGTCTTCTGACCACTACACCACGAAGGCGGAAGAAATACTTTATAATATTTATGTCAGTTTTCAGATCGCCAGATGATATTCGAAAAAACACAAAACAAAATATTCTTTTTATCATTTCAATAGCGATTAAAGAAATATTGCACATTTGACAGTCAACGAAATAATTTTAAAAATATTTGCAAATATTTCTGACACTTTTGTGAATAAACTCAATTCGCAAGTCAACTCTAATTTATGGATCTAAAGCGTAATGAAGGAAGTATTTTAAGAAAGGACATTTATTGATCATCTATAAAGATAAAGTGTTCCTCTAAGATTTAAGAATTTCTAATATCGTCTGATATTTACTCGGAAGCTCTAACTTTTATGGACAAGACATTTTCTCGTTGTTGACATTAAACAAATCTATCCAGAAATTAATCTCTAAGATGAGAATTTTGAGCTGCTGGTTTACGATTCAGTACAATGAGTGCAAAATCAAATCTTTCCCGAATTTACTGATGTATCTTCATCTCTGTTTGGTTTAGAAACATTTAAACATTTTCACGTATGCTTCTGTATTTAATTGTAATAATTTTAAAAGCGTAATACACTAAATTTTGTTATCATTGTTAATATATTATATTTTAATGCTTAATTGCGAATAAGTAATCGTTGTCAAATGGAAAGTTGTTTTTAATTTTCTTAACTGTACCCCAGACTAGAGAACAAAAATCCCCCTTTGAGAGCATCAGCTTATGAGAAGTTCCAATATTGTTCGGTGATTAATTAAAGCTTGCTGTATTTAAATATAGAAATTTTATTGTGAGCTATAAAAGAAAGTTTAAATTTGAAGATTTATTTCATTTCAGATATTAATTTGTAATGTTTAAAATTTTTATTTGCAGTATAATAAATTAATGAATAAGTTTTTGAACCCAAAATCTGTATCAATATTGAATGCCAAAAAGAAATATGCCGTTGCATGCTTTATGGGTTCTTAAAGGATTGAGAGTCCACAAAACTTGTGATACCTTGATAAAATGTATTTTACTTGAAAAAACGCTTCGCAGTTCTGGAATTTTCCACAACAAATACTCGTATAGCTCTTCACATTATCAGACAGTATTCACTAGACATACTTTAAACTACTAAGAAAGTTAAACACAACACAATGCAAAGCGCACCTAGCAGGCGAAACTTTTATGGAAATCTCAATACTCCGAAATCGCTTTGAAATAACAACTGAAAGCAGATGCTCTCTACGGTCTCATATACTAGTTTTCACGTAGCCGCCGAGAGATGTCTAGTATTTTCTTTTCACGTCTCGAAATTCTGGAAGGCATATGAGGGCTGGATACGGTTACAGCTACATATAGCATCAATTACAATACCCATTACAGTTATACACGAACCGATCCCAAATGCTCGCCAAATTTGGCGACATTAGTGTATTTCTCGCCAAATTTAGCTACAAAAATTAGTTTTCAAAAACCTCACGAAAACCAATTCAGCGAGATAACTCATGTCAAGAATGTTGTCTCTGTATTCTTACTTTTCGGGCGAAGCTTCGTTTTCTTAGATTTTTCATATTCATACATTATTAGAAAAAATACTGTAATTTTACTAAAATTATCTGCATATCTACAGAACTCATAAGAATATCATTAATAAACTAATTAAACAGTTAAATCTGTGGTATTAATTTATTAAAATGGACAATACAATTTTTGTCTCCTGTTGGTCACCGAAACAGTTGTATTTACAATGGCATTGTCGAAATTTGAATGCTTATTTCTCTTCGTAAATCCATATAGTTAAACTTAATTTAAGATGAGACGAGATAAATAAATCAAACAGCTTACACTTTTGTCACATTATACAGTCGCGTTTATAAAATAATGGAATTTGTATTCATAATTACTTTTCCATTTTGATTCTCATGTAAATGGAAAATGTTATTTTACTCTTTGTCATCTGAAAAAATTGAATTACTACGGATTCCGAAAATTTATACTGCAGGAAAGATCAAAACATATTGTTACTAAATGCTGAGCCTCAGTAAGATAGCTTCCCTTCCAAGCGGGTTTTGGGTTGCCAGAAAATTGCAAAGGAAGGCAAGGTTCCCATATTTGGCAACACAATTGGTGATATGCCATAGACGGATGGAGAACGTTCTAAAATGAATTTTTATCGGTTTGGCCCACAATGTTTTCGAAGACAGGCCAAAAGCTACATAAACTGACGAGACACACCTACGCGGAGTATATGTGTCTCGTCAGTTTATCGCGAGTTACGGCATCCAGAGTGTGCATCGTTGAACCTGTTGAGCGTATCGTCGAGTGCATAGCGAGTTGTAGCATGGAAACTCTCCAGGTTACGTTGAGTTTCGAGAACGACTGAATCGAGTCGGGAGCTGTACTGTAGTGCTTTGCCGTGAAGCTGTAATAAGCTGATAGCTGAAGGATGTATTGTTAATTGCTTCAGCATGTTTTTCGTAGTTTTTCGACGATAAAAACGTGTTTTTGGAGCTGTCCTAAGTAATATTGGCTAATAAATTGTGTTTTCATTCTTCATCAAGTGTGTTGTTAATCACTTAAAACCCACGAGCCCGTACGCAACAATATTACGAGACTGAACTCTATGTTATGATAAAATTGATAAAATGTTTCTTAAAAATGAATCATATGTTATTTTCTGGGAAGAGTTATGTAGAATAACGGGAAATTAATGCGTCTTATTTAATTTCTTTATATAGACATCCAAATCTCTTCCTACAAAATTACTGAAATATCTCTGTTTAGGATTATGTTTTCGAAGAAAACTCCTTCGTTATCTATATACCTCTGAAATGTTAGCAGTTATATAGTATTTAAAGTAAAAACTCACAGCACTTCGGGCAGTACTAAGTACAAAGTTGTTGCCTTAAAGGTCACCTATCCATTTAAATTTGCTTACTGTGTTGAATAATTATATGATTTATGTTTCAGTACATTATTTAGAACAATATTCTACAAAGTGGGGTACGCGTAACCCAAGGTGTACGCAAACTGACATTTGGCCGTACACTAAAGTCACGATCACTTGCGAGAGTGTGATTATGAATACTATATTGTATTGCATTATATGGATACACCTTCTAATTATTTTGGTCTTAGAGATACGCGATATTTGGAGATTGCTGATTTAGAATCTTCATTTTTGTTTCTCAGCCAGTATAATTATTTAAGTTTCATTTCTCATAAATAATACTGAGAAGCGAAACGAAAAATAGCTCCTTACATACATCGACTTACTTGAATCAAATCAGCATAAAAACGAACTTAATTATTTTTTCTTGGAATCTTTCTAGCTATTTCG